CATTTAAACCCCCCTTTTTTAAAGGGGGAATTTTTTTTTTTTTGGCTTAAAGTATTTCACTCTAAAGGAATTTGTCAGCTGTCAATCACAGAATGTCACTACCACACAGGAGACATCTTGACAACGTATATCCACGCCCTCCTTTTTAACACGGTGAATTTCAATCTAGCAATTATTACAACAAATTTACAGTCTAAAGTTCAACACTGGGAACTGGGAACTGGGAATTACATCTTCTACACCTTCCAGTGAGGGCCCCTTGGACAGGTTACTGCTCCTTTCCTAAGCCTCCACATTCACAGCACAGAAAGATATTACAACCCTAACCACTGCTCAGGGACTCCTAGGGAATGACTTATCCTACTGCCCTCATGTTGCTTCCTCTCAAAGTGTAAAGTCTCAAAAATATACTCAATGTTATTGTATGTTTGGAGGCTGGGATTCCCCATAAGTAACATATGAAGATTTTGAAATGGAATAGCCAGATCTCACACAATTTTTCCTGCAGGAAAAGCTCCAAGACATTGTGACAAAACTGAAGGGAGTGTAAGACCTCTGCGAAGTTGTTCACAGAAGAGAAAATAATTGAATGGGAGGTAAGAATTTGGGTTTAGTGATCACAACTGTTTTTCATCCTGAATTCATGTATAGAACATGACTGGGCATAATATTCATTGATTTTATTTATTCTCATTAAACCAGTACAAACTGCTGAACCCCAAAGAATATGTCAATTTTTTAATAATAATTAGTCGTCTAATGTAGGAGAATTTCCTTTTAATTTCTTCAGCCTTGCAGTAGTAACTTTGTAGGTGTTCCATTACCTTAGTCAGAAGAAACAACCTGTTGTGCCCCTTATCTTCAATGGGCTTCACATTTTAAATTACCTCCTGTCTGAAGATCATGAAAGCACCTGTGCACATTTACCAGAGTACAGGGTCAGGCACCCTACCTTCCGGTTCCAATACTGGAAGGGTATTTGTGTTAGGGAATACAAATAACAGGACCAGTGCAGAAGACCTTCCCATAACTCAAGCTTGTGAGGTTGTGATGAGGATAGAGCTCTGCAAAACTTACACATGCATGCACTGCAGATTGTGGGTCTCTAAGACAGTGTCCGTGACTATCCAGCATCTGCAGGATCAGAGACACATTCTTTTATGGATATGGATGTAATTCATGATTTAGTAACCAAATTCCCCAGATGTGTGAGCCATTTTGCCTCTTTCAGAGTCTCTTCCCAACTTGACCCTGCTCCTTTGTGAGTGGATGTGAAACTTGACTCTTCCATCCCTCATTTTGAGATCCTTGGAAGTTGCAGGACCGTATTTGGAAATGACACATAAAGATTCCCTACACTGTAGGTTTACAACTGCCTCTGTCTCCTCATTTCTGGAATACTAGGTCATAGGGAGAACTTCTATTGCTACAAACCACATAAGGAAACCATGTCAATGCCAGAGTCCAGCTGTCCCATGTATCCTACAAAAAGTTCCACTTCAGGGCTTCCCTGGAGGTACAAGGATATAAGTCTCAGATGATAAAGCTATTCACAGCCACTGCAGCATGAGTTCTATCCCTGGCCAGGGAGGTGACACACAGTGCACCCGATGCTCTCTTCTGCTGAGTATTTAAGTCACTCTGCCTGTTCTGCTCCCCACTCTGTCTCTGGTGATTCCTCTCACCCTCCGCCTCTGGCCTGTACCCCAGTTCTTGTATGCATAAATAAATAAATCTTTTAAAAAAAGTTTCACTGCATCCTAATTAATGCTCCATCTGCCACAATATCACTGTCACTAAAGCACTGTGGGAATTGAGAAAGCACCAATGCAAATTGCAATTCCATATGCCACAAATGAAAACTGAGTCTCCCAATTTTTGTAAGTGTTACACATAGAAATGAAAAATGTATCCTGGGTAAGTGCTATAATATATCTGGTAACTCCTCAGGCTTCCCCATATTTAGTATTATAGACTCTCCTATAAGCTTGATGACTTAAATTCAGTATTGGTTATATTCACTATAAGCCTTTTGTTGAAGAAATTCCCTCAGAACATATATATAGTGTGTTACTTACCCACAGTGCTTGGTTATATCTTCATAAATGATAAGTTACTTGGGTTGGCCAAATTCCATTATTCTCCTATTTAGCATTCTGTGACCTTCTTCTTCTGCATTGTGGCTGAAGAAGAAGGAAGTAGACCATATGGCTGTTGCTTTGTGATGACCTTTCCACATCAGATTGCCAGCCTTTAGGTCATTTCTAAGCATTCAGTCCAGTGGCATGAAATGCATTTAGTTGCTTTGCAGCCATCACCACCCTCCATCTGCAGAACTTTTTCAGCATTTGAAATGGAAACTCTATGTCCATGAACAATAACTCCATTTTCCATCCTTCCAGCTTGGGGGCCACCATTCTACTTCTTGTTTCTCAATTTGACGAGGGCCCACATATGAGAAGACTCATAGGGTCTTTCTCTTTTGCTCTTTGGCTTATGTCCTTCTGCATGAATCATCAGTGTATGTCCACTTGGACACGTGTCACAGTTTGCTTTCCTCCTGTGGGTGAGCAGATTTGCACTATGTCTCGGTCCCACCTGTGTTTACTGACTCACTATAGAAGTAGGTTTTGTTTGTTCCCCCTTTTCTGCCTACTTTTTTGGTTCTAGGAGAACATAGATCTTCGGAGAAAAGTAATCCAGTTTGAGTTTAGGAATCTCCATAACTTCCTCGATGAAGAGGAGAGGACTTATCTATGGAGACTGGAGAAAGAGAAAGAGCAGCTGCTGGGGAGACTGCAGGACAGTGAAGCCAGTCTGGACTACAAGAGCCATGAACTGGAGAGCCTCCTCCTGGAACTAGGGAAGAAATGTCAGGGCTCGGCCCAGAATTTGCTGCAGATGAGGGAGTATATGAACTTGGAGGAAAGAAAGGTATGGGTTTCTGGTCTCTTGAGAGGAGAAGTTCTCTTGAGGGAGCCTGAGAAGATTGGCAAGTCCTCTCTGCCTCAGTCAGTATTTAAAGAAATAAATGTTTAAGACTATAGCAGCAGCATCTCTTGTTGGCCAAAAACAAAAAAGGGGGAAATGCTGTAGGCTGTGCTACCCATGCTGTCTCTTGACAAGGTCTGGGCATTGGGGGAGACTCCCGAGAAGAGGGGAGTCCTGCACTTCCCAGAAAATCTGAACTAGGAAGTCTCCATGGCAATACCTCCTAATGCTCTCCTGTTTGTTCTTGGTTAATACATAAGTAAGTTAGTTATAAATTGGCTTGTGAAAACCTAATTCAGACCCAGGTGACAATTGGCTTATTGTTCTTGCGCATAAACTATCACAAAAGAAGTAAAAATTGTTAAAGATATAGTTAGAATAGAAATGTTCTGGCCCTGAGAACTAGGGAGAACAAGCTGCCCTGAACCAACTATGCTTGGAAACCATAGCCTTACCTGGTGGGTATGTGTTTGTGGCAACAGTACATGTCCTGGTGTATGTGAAAGGAATAACAGTTTGTAGGTTGTGTGGAGGTTAGGTATTTCTGGTTAAAAGTTAGACTGTTGTAGAATTAAACAGTATTGATGAGTTACTTTAGATCTCTTTGAAGTAATTAATAAATAGGCTAGATTAATTGAGTGCTAGGGAATGGGGTGATTTTAGTAATAAAGCATAGCAATGGACTTTCATGTCCACTCCGACATTAGGAAAGCTTGACAGGATGATTGATTGTTGCTGAACATTGTACTGTCTTAGACAACTGATTTTGCTAGAAAATGAGTTGTACCGAGGAGAGTAATTGTCCCTGTTGTTTTTCTTAATCAGATTAAAGAAGAGTCTTTATGTAGTATGAGATGAAGAGGGTCTCTGTATGTTCATGAGAAAATCTGTAGTGATTGTCTCTGTTTTGCTTTGATGCTTATGTTGATGTAATCTCACTGCTCGCCTTAAGGTATAAATAAAGTGCCTGCTGAAGCCCTCAGCAGGAGATATTTGTACCAGAGAGAGTGTCAGTGTCTCCTCACTACCTCATCTACCTCACTCCACTTCCCCTCGGCCCCCCCAAATTTTCGCTGACACCGTCCTCTCCTTTTGGGGACTCCTGACATGACATTTAGCTGGAGCGGGTCTCCAGCAAGCTCTTTTGCCCATTTCTTTCGATGCAAGTGCCCTTTATTCTTCTCTCCCTTTTTATTGTAAACCTCCCCTTTTGGGAACCAAAGAAAAGATCCATATCAATGTCATCTGCTGGACTGTGCAGGTATCACAGTGACAGTATGTGAATCAGAAACTAGCTTCTCTGGGTCAAATGTATGTTTTTTGGCCATATAGAACCTCAGAATAACCTTCATCCCATTTATTCACCCTTGTCAGTGTTCATGGAACCTTCTCACCATCTCTTGAAAATGACTGGTGGTATAGAGTGGGGCAGCCAAACTGAATGATAACCTTCTCCTGAATCAACTGTCTTGGTCCATGTGCTCTTAGGGAACCTCATTTCAGCTGCCTGGAACTTCCAGAGGGTGAACATCAATGCCTGGACTCCAGTAGCTATTGCAGGACTGGTGGTTGTACTGTGAGGGTGAGGATGTAGTGTGACAGCGCCCTCAACAGGTGACACCTGCTGCCTGTGTCTCAGTGGCCCAGAGCCAGGGCCTGGTCATTGATTCCCCACTGAGGACCTTTGTCATAAGTGACAAAGGTAATATGGGCTAATACTGGCTCCTGAGAAGGAAATTGCATCATTAGTAACAGAAGGTCACACAATCTTGCTCCTGGCCTCTTCCCTAAGGTCATGGGCTAATGTGAATACAAACTCCACGACTCCCCACAAGCGTGAGCAAGTGCGATCACACACTCACACACACTGGCAGGGACTATCCTAGGGGACAGGGATGGGAATTGTTCTACCTAGGTATGCGTGGGTGTCTCAGGCTGGGTCACTCTGCTTCCTTGGGTAGAGTGTACAAAGCAAGTAACCCCTTGTGTAAATTGAGATGAAATACATATTTTGCCACACTCACATTTGTCTTTGTTTTCACTGTATCATGTGAAAGACACATTAAACAGCTGAGTCTGTAAAATGTGGGAGTGTGAGGATGTAGGCGGTTGTGTGGCTACCCAGCGCTGAATGGAATGTTCCCCGTTTCTTGTAGGAATTCAGATGTGAACTGGAATTGCCAGAGACCTTCTCTTTGGAGCCTCAAATGTGTGCCATGTTCCTGAGCTTTACTTTGATGTGAAGTAAATGTTAAGGTGCTTCCAAGGTGTGTGAAGTCAACAGTTCCCTTCATGCTTCATGTAAAATGCCACTTTGGTGGTCACCAACTCAGCAGCTGTCTCTCGGTAGACTCAGAGACAGAGACACTGTTTAGCTGTTCTCAGTGGAGCTGGAGCTCTCTCCCTCCTGGGTAGGCAGAGATGTAGCTTCCTGGTAAACAATTTGGGCTCTTCAAATTCCACCTCTCCCAGGCTGATCACCTGCACATTCTCCCAATCTGAAAATGACAGCATAAAAGATTTCACTTCCCTCACATATCATGACATTTAACAACATCAATATATGTAGTGTTTAGAACAGTGTCTACAACCTAATGTTTATTAACATTTCATTAAACTCTCAGCAGTGCAAGAAAGATAGATCAATATTCTAGACTGTGATGAAAATGGTTTTAAGGGGGCCTCCCCTAGTGGTGCAGACAGTTGAGCGCCTCCCTTTGAAGATGTCAACAGCCTCTGCAGTGCTGGTTCGATCCTGGCTGCCTGGCATGGGGTCCCACCTGATGGCAGCAGACCTCTCCTGTCTCACCCGCTGCTCCCCTCAGCAATGTATTTCATTGTCTGCCTGTTCTGTTTCCTGCTCTGTCTCTGATGATTCCTCTCACCCTCCTGCACATCTAGCCTGTACCCTGGTTCTTACATAAAATGAATAAATGCATCTTTAAAAAAATGGTTTTAAGGGCTTGACCACCTTGAATGTGAGAATCCTAATTGAAAGGTCTATGTAGGTGCAAGAATATGGGTGGAGAAGTAGCTGGTTAAAGGTGGTGCGGGATATTGCCCAAATGCATGTTACTGCATTAATGAATCAGGCATTGTAGATCAAAATGTGGAAGCCTTAAACAAATTACGCAAAGACTACAACGGGAAAGAGGGGGCTCCAACTCCAATCCCACAATCTCATGGCTCCTCCCACTCTTGGGGATGATACTAATGATAACCTTATTTTTTCTTTTTGCTCCTTGCTTCCTAAAATTCATACAGGCTCGCATTCAGGAAATATCCCGCACAACCTTTAACCAACTCCTTCTCCACCCGTATTCTCGCACCTACATCAACCTGCCAACATCCACTTTATTTAGCAAAAAAATCTGAACCAAATATAACAAAATAACACTTTTGTTCTGGGGTTTGAACATGCAGATTTACATTACATTACTTTTGTGTTTTCCATTAGAAGGCTTCCACAGGGGAGCCCAGTAACTGCAGACCACAGCTACAGGCTGGAGGGGTGGGGGATTCTCTGGCTTAGCTGGCTCCAAGGATCCCCAAATTCTGTGTCCCCCTCTATTTTCAGGGCAGACCTGTCTCCTGTCTTACCAAGGGATTCACTTCTTTTCCTTCACCTCTTCATTCTCCCGACAAGGCAGAAAGGAGTCTCCATTTTCGTGACGAAATTCCACAGGATCAGCCCCTTTCTCAAGAGACCTCTCATTTAGCAGGATGAAGAAAGCATCTTTGAACACCCTGCAGGCTCAGTCCTCAGCGTGCTGTCCTCAGTGGCTCTAGTGAAGAAGGGTGAGTACCAGTCAGGTGAAAGGGCACCAGCCCCTGTCCCTGTGCCCTTGCTTCTCATCTGTGCACATCTGATTAATAATTGATCTTAGAGATGAGCAAATAAGCCAAGCATCTTTATCAGAGATAGACAAATTTGTGACCATGTCCTTTTAAAACTTTAGTCTTTTTCCAGCACTACATTGCTGACAACGATAGGGTCAGTCCATAACCTCAATCCCCTGCATCCTCATAGGTAACAGCCCTTGCCAGTTCATGGATCTCATGGAAGCTGGACTTCATTCCGGGACCAAGAGATATCGAATATGGAAGAGGGGCTCCCCACAGTTGGACAACAGTCCACCATCTCATGCCACCCACCCACATTCATGGTATAGGCACCTCCTCACTACAAGGGGTACAGGGGAGAGGCCAGAGTAGGGGTGGAACCCTGAATGCTCTAGGACCAAGCATAGGAGTGAAGGGGGTGCTCAGTGAAAGGGGCGTACTCAGGTCATCCCTACAACTCTCTGGGATGCTCATGTGATCCTGGATAAAGAGAAAGATGTGACCGTGGTCACCCTTCAGGAGAAAAGAGACTCTTATGTCCCTGTGGAAGCACCACTGGATGGCAGTCCTCTGCCTGGTGCCCCTTCACATCATTTTTAATATGTGTGGCCCAGGCTGAGTGTCACTGCGTTATCAGACAGCATCCCAGATGGTCAGAGTAGACTCAAGAGTCCAGACCCTCCAATCTGGACTCAGTCCAACCCAGTAAGGAATGTTTTTCTCTGTCACTTCTGAACTGAAGTTCCATCTTTTTTGGAGAAATGGAGGCTGAAAGAAGGGAGAAAATTACCTGAGATTTTCACAGAGATTAAATAACAGTGGCCCAAGAATTCCTCCTTAGCAGGTGACACAAGTGGATGTGCTTTTCAGTCTTTATAAGAATTAACCCCCTGCAGAGGACCATGTCTTGTTTTATGACTCGAGCTTTGTGTCTGAGCACTTCTCACAACCACCTGAGAACACAGCCCCAATATCACACTTTAGCAAACTGAGGCCCAGATGGGTGATGTTCCTTGTCCTCTTAGAAGTAAAATCAGAAATTGGATATAAGTCAGGCTCTGCGTTGGAAGATGGAAAACTAATTTTAATCTCCATGTAGTGTCTTCATCAGAACAAGCATGTGCATCTCACTAAAACAGGCACTCAGCGTGGTGGCAACATGAGAAAACAGCCAACCCCATACATTTCCATCATGCTTAGAGAGTCCAGATCTGGGAGGGCAGAGACAAAGGGGGAGGACAGCTGAGATACATGTCAGCGGGAAGGAGCAGTCTGCAGCCTCGAGCCCATGCCTGGGGCCTGGAGTTGACGGGGCGACACCCACTTCTGAGAATTGGACACATTGGCTCAGTGTCCTTGTCATAAGCAACTCAGAATAAACTCAAAGGCCTTAGCATATTCCCTTAACCACATGTTCACCAACACATCATCTCTTTTCCTGAAAAGTCATCTCTTTGTCTCTTTGTGCCTGGTGAAGGGACTTTCTCAGGAGAAGGACCTGCAGTGTTTTCTGCATGTCCAATTCCGGGGTCTGATAATTCCTTCCCATTTTGGAAGTCCCCGAAAGCTAGTGCACAGACTCCTTTTCTGGTTGGTGATGCCAGGGGCCCGAGGGTCTAGTCTAGGCTAGGAATGGTGGATGTGAGAATCAGTTCTCCAGAATCTGAGGTGTGGAGCCTCTAGTGGGGCAAAGAAGAGAGAGCGAGTAACAATGGAATTGTGACTCTGATAGACCTGGCAACTGGGTGTGGGGAGAAGGTTCTAAGGGGAATGGGAGGCCCCGTCTCACACTCCCAGGAGCTCTCATGAATCTTCTCAGAGTTTGAACAAGAAGGTGCTCCCATAGTCACCACCACGTGGAACAGTAAGGTAGTTAGGAAAGTACTGGGGTGTTAGAAAAGTCATGACATATTTCCTAGGGCCATCTGCAGCAAAAACGCATTATGACATTTCCAACAACCCAGTATCTCCTTCAGTTCTGTGAACTTTTCTAGCAAATGAATGAACCGGAGGAGGAAGTCAAAGTCACCTTTGATTCATAGCCAGTTAGTCAGAAGCACAGGTGACAATGTGGGCTTGTGACAGGAGTGAGGTCAGGGTGGGGTTGGAGACTGTGTGGCACTGAGCCCATATCCTGGGGGTCGGGGGCTCTGTTGGAACTCCGTTATATCAGATTTGAATTGGATTGTGAGACACTCAGGTCGATGGACAAATCGCACACATCAGGAGAGCAGAGTGAAGAGACGTGGTGTGAATGGGGTAGCAGCGGAAGAGGAACGAGAAGCAGAAAGTTTTCCTGGATGCACGTGCACCCCTATTACTCACAGGAACTCAGAGACTAGGAGCACAGGTGGTGTTTAGAACTAAAGCTCACGGAGAAGCTAACTAATGAGCAGTAGATTCTTAGAGAAGTGACAGGTAAAGAGAGATGAATTTCTAGGTGGGGAATGATGGGAAGGCAAAGATATGGGGCAAGTGATGGAAGACAAGGGCTAGTGTTACCTGCTCGTTATATGGATGCCTGTAGTGCTGCCTCAGTGTCCAGATGTGTCTCTGCTAATTAATTTCTATCTATTTCCTCTTTGGCAAACAAGGGGAGGACGAAGGGCTTCTCTTGTACATTTTTTTATACAAATGCCTTTGGATCCAAATAATTTTTATGCCAAAGTGGGATAACAGGGCGTGCTCCTTTCAGGATGAGATATTCAGTAACCTCTGTCCTCACATCTTTCCAACACACAGAGCTGCCTCTCTATGAGCTGTGTGGAATAAAGTGGTTGATGTGAAGTGGGAACAGTATTTCTCCTTTCTCAGTTAATAGAGGTTGATAGGAACAAACCTCATTAGTTAATATCATTGTTGGAAATTCAGTAGATCTCTTTTCTGCTTCAGTAAGAAAAAACAGTATGTTCTCTTTCTGAGCATGTAATTTCCATGTATAAACCTGGGCCCGAAACTTCAGGTGAGTGACCAGTCAGTCATTCAAGAAATCTGAGGCTGGTCTCCTGAGCCTAGTCCTCAGTTTGACTAAATAATCTCTTCATAAAATTTCACTTCTACTAAAAGTAAATTTGCTTCATAATAATGATTCTCTCAGTTAATGTCACCATCATGTCAGTTGTGAAAAGAAATATTATTTTTGCTGTCCTGCTCTTCTATGCAGCTGACAGATACAATGCAGCTTCCCCTCATCTCCACGGGAGACTCTGCTGGTATCAAACACAATGGGAGCACTCAGCCCTCCAGATGTCTGGTCACCCTGCTGGTCAGACCAGGACCCTTGGAAATCAGAGATCTGAACCCCGCGATGGAGAGGGTGATGCATGATCACGGCTGTGCTCTCGCTTCCCCGCAGGTCAGGCTGATCTTCTGTGGTGTCTATACAGTGGCTGTATCCACTCATTCATTGCACACTCATTAAGTGTCGTCTGAGAACTCAGCACCGTTCTTGGTTAGGGGAAAGAGCAGAAAGGGAAAAAGACAAAAATTCTTTGCTGGTAGAACTCACATTATATTTCTATAATGGTTAAACAAAAGAGACTGTTCTTAAAATTACTCCAGCGGTGGAGGGAGGAATAAAGGAGAAGAATGATTAACCTGGAAATAAGGCTGAACAGTACCAGAGAAGGAGTCCCTTGGGAAGGTGAAGATATGGGAGCCCGTGTTCATGTTGTAAAAGGACACAAGCCCAGCCTCACAGTCCAGAAGAACACCCACCAGCCGGGGCTGCTCCTTCAATGTAAGAGAAGTTGGGGGAGAGGTAAGGGCCATGTAGCCATTCTCCTGGCAGAGTCTGATGGCCCAGAATCCAGACTGAGGCTCTGGGGTCATGTCCCTGTCCCTCTGCACATTTTCCTAAGAGACAAACTCCTAAGGCCCACCCAGATCCTTTTCTCACATCCACTTCAAAGTAATGTCTTCCTGAGGTGAAGCCCTCACAGCCTAGGACACTGGGTAAGGCATGGAATCTCCTAAAACTGAGATGCTTCTCCTGGGGGCTGCCACGGGTCACATGTCTCCGATCCTCAGACAGAATTAGTTCACGATGAGCTGTGTCTGGGTCCAGAGTCACACTGGCTAATAAAAGAGAAAAATACATTTTATTTGCTGAGAAGACAGTTCACTTCAGTATAACCATCCTGGATTCAAGTGCAGCCTAGTTCTTTTATCTCTGTGAGTCACTTTCTGAGACTCTGCATACTACAGTAGGAAATCATCATACCTGAACAATATGGTGGGGAGGACTGAAGGAGCTAATGGACGCCTCTTGCTTGGAGAAATTCCTGGTATTTGGTAAATAACCAATAAGTGGAAGTCATATCCTTGAGTTTATTTGAAGACATAATGGTCTTGCCATACAATCACTAGGGGGTGCCTTCTAGGGCTGTTAGTGTTCTAGAAGATGATGACAGCATCTCTTCAATAGTCAGAAAGAAGCCAGGGTCATAAGTTCTATAATCATAAGAGGTGAATGCTGCCCACTATCAGAGGCAGCTTGGAAGTGGATTATTCCCCAGTCTAGCCTCCAGATGGGAGCACAGCCCAGCCAACACATTCATTGCGCTCTGTAAGGTCCTAACCATAAGTCCTAGGTAATGTGAGCCATACATATCTGAACCAAAAAACTGTGAGATAATATGTGTTATTTTAAGCGACTGAATATTCTTATAACCATAGAGAATGAGTTCAACTTCATTCAGATTTTACAGCCAAAATAATTATTAAAACAATTTAGTTTGAATTTTCTAATTGTGGACATGTGGAACATGGCAAGTACTAAATAAGAATCATGGTTTTGGAACTGGGAATACTGGCTTTCATTAAGATTCAAATATTTATGGCATCGTAATCCATTTTCTCCTTAGTCCTGAATACTGAGCTATCTTTCTTAAATTTCACTGAATGTTTAATGACATGTTAATAATGAACATTATGGTGCAGATTGTTCTAAACACTTTACACCTGCGGTTGCATTTAATTTTCATGAAAACTCACTGAATCAAGATCTGTTCATATTTGTTTATTTTTCAGGATGGGAAAATGAGGTAGTGGTTGGCCTGGTTGATACAGCAAATCAATGGGAGAGGAGGAATTTGAAGAGCCTGTAGAGGTAACAGTTTGCCACTTCCCTGTCTACACCCAAGGGAGCGTGTTTCTGACCCACTGGAAACAGCTCAGCTACCTCTCCACCTAGGAGTCTGAGCAAGACAGGTAGGAAGATTGGCTACCACTGAAGGGGCCTTTCCTGTGAAGCATTAAGGCAGTTATTTCCTTCACATACCTTGGTAGCTCTTCAGCATTTTCTTCAAATCAAATCAAAGTAAAGTTCAGAAACATTGCACACAGTTTGAAGGTCCAGAGAGGGGGTCTTTGGTATTTCCAGCTTCACATCTGAATGCCTAGAATAAACAGACAACAGACCTTCTGCAGTGGACATTCCATTCAGCTCTGGACCCCACAAATCCTCACTTCCCCTCAACCATGTGTTCAGACAGACTTACCTTTTCAATGTGTCTTTCACACCCTACAGTGAAAACAAAGACAGAAGGTGAGTGTGGGAAAATCAGTATGTCATGTCACTCGACACGTGGGATTACATGCTGTGAACACTGCACCCCAGGAAGTAGAGTGACCCAGACTTACACACCCACACATACCCAGGTAGAATGATTCCCATCCCAGTCCCCTAGGATAGTCCCTGCCAGTGTGTGTGAGTGTGTGGTCGCACTTGCTCAGGCTCATGGGGAGTCATGGAGACTGCATTCACAGTAGCCTGTGACCTAAGGGACTTGATCATGTTACCTTTTGCTCTAAGTGACCTAATTTCTTTCTGAGGAGCCCATATCAAAGATCACTGATGACAAAGGTCCTCAGTGGGGAATCTATGCCCAGAACCTGCCACTGGGCCAATGAGGGAGAGGCAGCAGGTGTCACCTGCTGAGGGTGCTGTCATGTTATATCCTCACCCTCAAAGTGTAACTACCAGTCCTGCAGTAGCAGCTTGAGTCCAGACATTTATGTTCACCTGCTGGAATCTTCAGGCAGCTAAAAGCAGGTCCTGTAAGAGCTAATGACCCAAGGCAATAAGTGAATCAGGAAAAAGTTATCATTTATTTCAGCTGCCCCACTCTATACCACCAGTCATTTTCAAGAGATGGTTAGAAAGGGTTCCATGTACAGTTGACAAGGACAAATAAATGGCCAGAGGGTTAGGTAGGGTCCATAAAACAGGAAGCCTCCACATCTACCCAGAGATAGTTTAAATTTCTGATTCACATGCAACCCCTGGACCTGCAAGGCTGCCAGCAGACATGTATATAGATTTTAAAGAATGTTTATTTAATTTCAGTGCCACAATTAAGTGAAGTAGACAGGTCTCAGAAATCTCCCCAGGCTCTCTCATCATTCTCCACTCAATAGTCAGGAACAGATGACACCTCCTTTCTTTCCTAGAATTTCTCACCCTCTCTTACCTGCAACAAATTCTGGGCTGATTCTTCACATTTCTTCTCTAATTTCAGGATGAGGCTCTTAAGTTCAGAGCTCTTCTTTACCACAATGGCTTCATCTCCCTGCAATCTCCTCAGCAGCTTCTCTTTCTCTTTCTCCAGTCTCCATAGATAAGCCCTCTCCTCCTCATCGAGGAAGTTGTGGAGATTCCTAAACTCAGACTGGATTTCTTGTCTCCGAAGCTCTATGTTCTTCTAGAATCAAGGAAGTGGGCAGAAAAGGGGGAAACAAACCAAACATACGTCTATGGTGAGTCAGTAAACACAGGTGGGATCAAGACACAGTGCAAATCTGCTCACCGACAGGAGGAAACAAAGCTGTGACATGTGCCCAACTGGATGTATCATGAAGATTCATGGAGAGGGACATGAGCCAAAGAGCAAAAAGGAAAGAGTGAATGAGTCTTCTCATTGAGGTCCCTAGTCAATTTGAGAAACAAGTAGTAGAATGTTGGCTGCCAAGAGCGGGGAGGAGGGAGCAATAGAGTTTATTGTTAACAGACCTAGAGTTTCTGGTTCGAAAGCTGAAAAAGTACTGCAGATAGAGAGTGCCAACGGCTGAAAAAAAAACAACACAATGCACTGGGCTCTTCAGTTAGAAATGAGGAAAATGGCAATGTCAGGTAATGTGTATTTCGCACAAACAACCCAGAAAAGTTTGCTGAGCTTCTGTGGGTCATTTTCCCCTGGGCACTGGAGGTCAAACAGTGTCCAGCTCCCCCTGCAGAGTCCAGCCCAAGAGGCAGACACTCAGATGAGGGAAAGCTGGTCCTAGCTCTGTTGGCACCTGCTCACTTTCCTTCATCTCATCCCAGAGATAAAGGAAGGAGAGGATAGGAGTCGCAGAATCATGAAATTTGCCAAGATCAAAGAACTTACCATTTGTAAGAGAAAACCAAGTGTTAGTGGGGATGTAAGACGCTATCTATGTGTGTGTGCCGGGGCGGTGGTGGGGAGGATTTCTTCAAATAAAGGCTTGTAGTGAATATATGTGATTCTGAATTGAAGACATCAGACTGGTAGGGATCAATGATTCTCAACAGGGGAGGTCTGGATAGTTACCAGAGATATTATTGCCTTGAGCCAGGATTCAGTTATCATCCTTATGGATGAGACTAAGAAAAACAGTGAGAGAAAAACACTCAATTTTCTCTGGGGAGGACAGAGTGTAATTCCATGGGTGCTTTCTCAAGTCACACAGTGCTTCAGTGACTATGGTGTTGTGGGAGATGTTGTGGCACTGGCAGGTTTTCCTATATGGTGGGTAGTAATAGAAGTTCTCCCCACTACCCGAGATTCCAGAAGGGGGTAGACAGAGGCAGTTGCAATGCTACAGTGACAGGGATCTCCACTTGCCAGTTCCTAGCAAGGCTCTCCAAACTTCCGAGGATTTTAACATGAGGATAGGAGGAGTTTAAATTTCACATATGCACAACTATAAAGAATAGAACAAATGTGGGAAGAAACCCTGAAAAAGGAAAAGACCCATAAATTTGATTATTAAGGGATGGATTACATCCATATTTCCATAAAAGAATGTGTCTCTGATCCTGCAGGGGCTGGTCAGCCATGAACATTGTCTTAGAGACCCACAGGCTGCAGTGCAAGTGTGTAAGTTCTTGCAGAGCTCTATCCTCATCAACAGTCTTACAAGCTTGAGTTATGGGATTGTCTCCTGCACTGGTCCTCTTATTTGTATTCACTAAAGTTGATATTGGAACCAGGAATGTAGAGGGTCAGACCCTGTACTCTGGTAAATGTGCCCAGGTGAGTTCATGATCTTCACACAGGAGGTAATTTCAGTCATTGAAAACTTAAAAGTAAGGAGCACAACTTTTCTGATTCTCCTAACTGAGGTTTTAGGACACCTAATAAATCACTATTCATAGAAATACAAAGCAAAGGAAAATTCTCCCAGATAAAGACAACTAATGGCAAATATTAAAGAAAAATGCCTACTCTTTGGGTTTCCACAGTTTGGTCTTTTTTAATGAGAATAAATCATCAGTGAATACTTTTCCCAATCACCATACACCTAAATTCTAGACTGAGTGATGTTGAACATTTTTTCATATGCCTGTTGGCCATTTGCATTTCCTCTTCGGAGAAGTTTCTTTTTAGCTCTTCTGCCCATTTTTTGACTGGATTATTTTCTTTGTTGTTGTTGAGTCTCATTAGCTCTTTGCAGATTTTTGTGATCAGTCCTTTATCATTAGTATTGTGTGCAAAAATATTCTCCCAGTCGGGAGAAAAATATTCTCTTTGTTTTTGTTATAGTCTCTTTTGCTGTGCAGAAGCTCTTTAATTTGATGTAGTCCCAGCTGTTTATCTTTGTCTTCACTATCACTGCTTTGGGTGATGTGTCTGTAAAGATGTCTTGATGTGCATATCACGTAGTGTTTGGCCTATATTTCCTTCTATGTATTTTATGGTTTCAGGTCTTATGAACCACTATGGCGAGCTGTGTGGAGATTTCTGGACCTACTAAACATAGAGTTTCCATATGATCCAGCAATTCCACTCCTAGGTTTTTACCCAAAGGACACAGAAACATCAATTCCAAAGAGCACCTGCACCCCTATGTTTATTGCAGCACTGTTTACAATAGCTAAGCTTTGGAAACAACTCAAATGCCCAAAAATAGATGACTGGATCAAGAAGATGTGGTACATATACACCATGGAATATTACTCAGCATTCAAAAAAGATAAACACATGCAATTTGCAGCAACATGGATGGCGCTGGAAGGGATCATGCTCAGTGAAATAAGCCAGAAAGAAAAAGAAAAATACTGGATGGTCTCCCTCATAGCAGGAATCTAGAAAACTTAAATAAGGGACCAGGAAAAAGAATAACTATAAGACTGTGAAAATCAAAATCAACAAAAAACTATGAACCAGAGACACTCTATAGAGTATGGGGGGGCGGGGAGGGGAGGAATTAGGGTCAAAATAAGGGTGCTGCAATTCTATGGGGAATATAAAAATAAAATTTATTTAAAAAAAATAAATAAATAATAAAAGATGATTGCCACTTTCCAAAAAAAAAAAAAAAAAGTTAATTTGACCTGTAAAAAGGTGGAAGATTTATGTGATCTGAGGAGACCAGAGTATGAATTTGGCCTGTTGCCCTGGATAGCATCGCTAGTGCAACAACCACCGGTCCAGTGAGTGCATCGGGTGATAACCTAGGAAAGAGAGACGGTTTACAATGGTTAGAGTGAGAGGCTTCAAATGGTGATGAGATGATGAATAAAAATGCACTTTATTGGGGGTCTCAGTATTATAAACTTGATATACCCCAGACTGCTAGTGCCAGTCATCTTAAGATATTTTATAATATCAAAAAATACTTATTGCTGCAGGATAGTTCAAATAGAACTTTAAATAGGTGCATTTCCTGGGCGGAAGAGTTAAAAAGAAACTTCTCCAAAGAGGAAATGCAAATGGCCAACAGGCATATATAAAAAAATGTTCAGCATCACTTGTAATCAGGGAAATGCAAATCAAAACTGCAATGAGATACCATCTTACACCAGTGAGAATGGCACATATTTAAAAAAAAAAAAACTAGCAACAACGAATGTTGGCAAGGTTGTGGAGAAAAGGAACTCTCCTGCACTGTTGGTGAGAGTGCAAACTGGTCCAACCACTATGGAGAGCTGTGTGGAGATTCCTCAACCTCCTAAAAATAGAGCTTCCATATGATCCAGCAATTCCACTCCTAGGTATTTATCCAAAGGACACAGAAACAGTAATTCCAAAGAGCACCTGTGCCCCTATGTTTATAGCAGCACAATTTACAATAGCTAAGCTTTGGAAACAACCCAAATGCCCAAATAAGTCAGCAAATAAGTCAGCAAAATAAGTCAGAAAGAAAGAGAAAAATACCGGATGGTCTCACTCATTGCAGGAATTTAGAAAACCTAAACAGGGGACCAGGAAAAAGACTAATTAATACATACTAAAAATCAAAATCAACAACCAACTATAAACCTGAGACACACTATGGGGTCGGGGGAGAGGAAGGACTAGGGTCAAAATAAGGGTGGGGGATGCAGTTGTATTGGCGGTGGCGCAGCGGTTGAGCGCTGGGTTGCGAAGCTGCCCGTGGCCTCTGCGGCACCGGTTCAATCCCCAGCTGCTCCCCGGCCACAGGAGGAGGGTCCCACATGGCGCGCAGACCTCTCCTGCCGCCCGCTGCTCCCCTCAGTAGTGTACTTCGGCCCTTCTGCCTGCTCTGCTCCCCGCTCTGGCTCTGGTGAATTCTCTCACCCTCCCGCGCTTCTGACTGTACCCAGTGCATGTATAAACAAAACAAACAAACAAACAAATAAATAAATAAAAACATGCCTCTATAAAAAAAATGCATACATTGTGCAAAAATGAAAAATGATGTAAGAATTATACAAAATATTAAAATAAATAGGTCCATTTCCTTTCTCACCTAAATTATCCAACGTGAGTTGCCCAAGCACAGCACCCTAATCCCAAGCAGCATTAATGATGACCAAAAAGTCACCAAATTGTTAAAAGTTATGATAATGTGCAGTTCATATAGAAAGTCGGTGTTAACTGTCATTGAAGTCTTCTGCTTCCTCTTACCACGAAGTGGTTCATGACGTAGAGATAGCAGGTGCAACCACCCAGGAAAATAGAATAATTCCTACTATCAGCTGCACCCCCAGCAACAAAAAGTCTCCCAGTCATGCTAATGAGCCTGGGTTGTAAGCAAGTGAAGGGTTGCAATGGACCCGGTTTTACCACTTTGGCCGATAAATTATGCCGAGCAGCAGGTAGTTGGGAAAAGTCATAAATAAAAGCTCTGCTCCTCCCCACTGTCAAACAGTGAACATAAGTTTGTATTACGTTCCTAATCTCTCTGAGAGAACACTGAAGTTATCACCAGAGAAGTCTAGAACTTTATCAACCCAGAGGCCACACTAAAAGGATCCACATTACCAACCTGTAACAGTCTTGTTTACTACATATCACCATATATTTGCCTTCCTATAATTTCCCACTTACAAAGTCATTTTTCTTTGTCTTGTTAACTATTAAAAAAAAAACACCAAAAACCTCTAACTGTTCTGTAGTCAAGATCCTCTCTCAGCCCATGCTGTGTCACCCCTTGGACTTGCTGTATCACCCCAGGACTCCCCGTGGATGCAGGAGGCACCTGTGTTTAGGAAAAGCTCCGTCTCTGCTCTCGCCACCACACACTATTCCTGTCTTACACCAGACGTGTGTGGTCTTCCCCATCAGTTCGGGGGTCCTGCAGTTGAACTGAAAGAACAGAGGTTGGAGCAGACCCCACAGGGAAAGGGTTCAGTCCAGCAAGGCTGTTCCCCCCAAACACCAGTCACGTGTGGTGTCCCCTGTGCTCCTGCAGGACAGGCCATAAGCAGGTGGCCAGGCTCCCTCTTTGGGTCTGATCATTTGCTCTCACACCTCAAAGCACTCAAGGAAACCCTTGGATGACTCAAGTATGACAGAGTAAAAGGTGTGAGAATGGACAGAACACCCACAGGAAAGAAAGGGCTCCGCAGTGTTTCCTGCATGGAGCTGCTGTCCCAGGAGAATCAGGTTCTCCTCCCCAGTGTGTGGGTGTGTTCGCAGACCCCGAAGCTCTGTAAGCCCCCATGTTATGGCTGTTTCCATAGACGTCATTCTAAATGCTTGATCATTAACTCAGCTTCTAGTACTCGTCTCTCCTGGAGTGTGGGGGTGTCTGAGGTTGAAAGTTCCAAGGTTCTTCTCTCTTTACATTTGCGGAGAGCAGCCTCCATCCTGAATATCTGAGAGTCCATCAAGTCACTTCATTAGAACAGAAAATCCTGCATCAGCAAGGAAATTCTAGGGATTCAGCAGCTTTGTCAGGAACCATGGTCAAAGACTAAGTATTAAAATAGAAAAGCTGCTTCTAGTGCTCTCCTCACATGGGAAATTAAAGGTCTTTTTGGAGCTCTGTGCCAGTAATATCTTTAAAAAAAATGCAACCTAGTAAAATGAAGCACCTAGTTGATCTATGAAGGAATCATGTGTTGGGCAACATCCCATGAACTGGCAGAGAGCGCCCAGCAGCTGTACAAAATGGAAGCTGTGTAGACAGGAGGGGAGGATGAGGAAAGTGGCTTGTTTCAGGCAAGGTGATCTTTCCCGGGGCAGGGGAGGTGTTGTCCAGGCAGGTCCCTGTTTTGGATATAACAGACTGACTGAGTCAGGTTAAGTTCCTGGAGGGAATAAAACCAGTAAATATACACAGTAAGTCTTAGTTTGGTGACTTGTGGTGTTTATGTGTGACTGAGGACACCCATTGGCCCCAACCTATTTGGAAATGCATGCTTTAAATGGGGTGCTGTTGTATGTTGCACAAAAGCAAAGAAAGCATCAGTGTGGAAAATATTTAATAGAATTAGTGTGCATAGAGAAAAAAGAGAAAGGATATTCTTAAGAGTATACCGCATGTGGCCTCCCTGGTGGTGCAAGGGGTTAAGAGGCAACCTAGGAAGCTGCCACTGCAGCACGAGTTCCACCCGGGCCAGGGAGATATCCACATGCTTAGCAGATCTCTCTTGTCTCGCTCACTGCTCCCCTCAGCAGTGTATTTCTGTCAGTCTGCCTTTTCTGTTCCCCACTCCATCTCGGGTGAATGCTCTCACCCTCCACACCTCTGGCCTGTATCCCAGTTCTTGTATGCATAAGTAAATAAATCTTTTTTTTAAGATTTATTTATTTATTTTATACAAGAACTGGGGTTCAGTCAGAAGCATGGGAGGGTGAGAGAATTCATTAGGGCCAGAGTGGGGAGCAGAACAGGCAGACGGACCAAAGACACTGCTGAGGGGAGCAGCAGGCGAGGCAGGAGAGGTCTGCTGCACCAGGTGGGGTTCTCCCTGGCAGGCGGGGAATCGAACCGGCGATACAGAGGCTGTGGACAGCTTCACTGCATGGCACTCAACCGCTGCACCGCCGGGGAGGCCCACATATTTTTTTTTTTAAAGAGAGTGTACCCCATGTCTTTACAGCAAATGCCCAGCCAAACAGGATTGACCCAAAAACCTGCTGGATGTTTTCTTCTGTGGAGGAACCATAGAAAGGTGCTAGGCAGTTCCCAGAGAACTGGAATAGAAGGGGTGGGGGGAAGATGCAAAATCTAGCACATCTAGATGGCGACTACCATTGTGTCCAGCAAGGAGGAGGCGCAGCCTCACAGTGAATCTGTCACCAGATGTGTCTTCCAGGCACCTCCCCTCCAAGCCCATGGGGCAAGTTTAAGAGGTAGAAGAAAGAGGGACAGGGGCCGCTTGCTTCTGTGTGATATAGACCCAGGGGGCCACTCAGCACCCCTCGTTCCCAGCAGTGCCTCTTGTTAGGAAGTCCGGTTCGGGGGCTACTGGGACTTGTCATCCAAGGGGGCTCATCTGAGCAGGGCCAGGGAGAAGAGAGCTTCCCCTGCACACACGAGCATCTGTAACTTTAGCACAAAAGACTATTGTTCACATGTTGAACACTTACATCACAGCACATGTACAAACGCTTTCTCCCTCATGTATCTTTTATTAGTTGACCATGTAAGGCCCTCCCTGCAGAGCCTATGATGAGTAAAGGAAAAGACTTTCTTGCCTCCGCTACACAGGAAACCCCAGTGTTGTTTGTTGTTCCCGGAGGCCCAGTGTCCGGACCCACTTCTGGAGTCTCAGAGCACTGGAGAGCTAGAGACCCCACCTTCCTGCTCTGGATGCTCTCGGACTCTCCCCGAGCTCATCGCCCCTCTAGTGTCCTGCAGGCCTGACTTAGTTAGGGATGGTCTCCTTCCTCCAGGCAGGCCAAGTATAAAGTGCTCACAGGAAATGATGTTTCCATCAGCATTTAGATTCTGAATAACAACAACAAAAATTGATAATCATTCTGATAAGGGAATTAAAAACTAATAAATCTTTGCCACTATAATGAAAAATAGAGGGAAAATTAGAAATTGTTTTGCAATGTCTCATCAGTCATTAATTCCATTCCTGTACCTTTATTTCCTGTGCCTTAGGTTCCACTGATAGGAGTTTAACTTGGAACTTTAAAAACTCATCGAGGGGCCTCCTCTGGTGGCACAGGCGGTTGAGTGCTGTGCTGTAAGCTGTCCCAGCCTCTGCAGCACTGGTTCGATTCCAGCCCACAGGCGAGGGTCCCACATGGCAAGCAGACCACTCCTGAGGTGCCCGCTGCTCCCCTCAGCAGTGTATTTTGTCAGTCTGCTGTTCTGTTCCCCACTCTGTCTCTAGTGAATCCTCTCACTCTCCCATGCCTTTGGCCTGTACCCCAGTTCTTGTATAAGTGAATAAATAAATCTTAAAAACAACAAAAAAAGAATTAACCCCCGCCAAAGGCCCATGTCTTGTTTTATGGCTCGAGCTTTGTGTCTGAGCACTTCTCACAACCGCCTGAGAACACAGCCCCAATGTTACACTTTAGCAACTGAGGCCCAGATGGGTGCTGTCACTTGTCCTCTTAGAAGTAAAATCAGAAATTGGATATAAGTCAGGCTCTGCGTTGGAAGGTGGAAAACTTATTTTAATCTCCATGTAGTGTCTTCATCAGACCCAGCGTGTCCATCTCACTAAAACAGGCTCTCAGAGTGGTAGCAACACGTAAAAACAGCCAACTCCACACATTTCCATCATGCTCAGAGAGTCCAGGTCAGGGAGGGCAGAGACAAAGTGGGAGGACAGCTGAGATACAAGTCAGCGGGATGGAGCAGTCTGCAGCCTTCAGCCCTTGCCTGGGGCCTGGAGTAACGAGGAAACACCCGCTTCCGAGAATTGGACACACATTGGCTCAGTGTCCTTGTCATAAGAAACTCAGGATAAACTCAAAGACTTTAGCATATTCCCTTAACCACATGCTCACCAACACACCACACATTTTCCTAAACAGTCATCTCTTTGTCTCTTTGTTCCTGGTGAAGGGACTTTCCAGGGTGAAGGTACTGCAGGTTTTCTGCACGTCCCGTTTCAGGGTCTGATCATTCCTTCCCACCTTGGAAGTCCCAGAAAACCAGCACACAGACTCCTCTTCAGGTTGGTGATGCCAGGGGCCTGAGGGTCTGGTCTAGGCTAGGAATGGCAGATGTGAGAATCAGTTCTCCAGAATCTGAAGTGTGGAGCCTCTTGTGGGGCAAAGAAGAGAGAGCGAGTAACGTTGGAATTGATACTCTGACAGACCTGGCAACTGGGAGTGGGGAGAAGATTCGAGGTGGAATGGGAGGCCCCAGAAGCTCTGATGAATCCTCTCAGAATCTGAACAGGAAAGTGCTCCCATAGTCACCACTGCCTGGAACAGGAAGCTAGTTAGGAAAGTATTGGGGTGTTGAAAAAGTCATGACATATTTTCTAGGGCCATCTGCTGCAAAAATGTGTCATGACTTTTCTGACAACCCAGTATCTCCCTCAGTTCTGTGAACTTTTCTAGCAAATGATGGAACCAGAAGAGGAAATCAAGAGCACCTTTGATTCATAGCCAATTAGTCAGAAGCACAGGTGACAATGTGGGCTTGTGACAGGTGTGAGTCGGGGGTGGGGTTGGAGACTGTGGCACTGAGCCCATAACCTGGTGGTCGGGGGCTCTGTTGGAACTCCATTACATCAGATTTGAATGGGATTGTGAGTCACTCAGGTCGATGGAGAAAACACACACATCAGGAGAGCAGAGTGAAGAGACATGGTGTGAATGGGGTAGCAGTAAAGTGGAAGGAGAAGCAGGAAGTTTTCCTGGATGCACGTGCACCCCTATTACTCACAGGAACTCAGAGACTAGGAGCACAGGTGGTGTTTAGAACTGAAGCTCCTGGAGAAGCTAACTAATGGGCAGTAGATTCTTAGAGAAGTGACAGGTAAAGAGAGATGAATTTCTAGGTGGGGAATGATGGGAAGACAAAGATATGGGGCAAGTGATGGAAGACAAGGGCTAGTGTTACCTGCTCGTTACGGGGATGCCTGTAGTGCTGCCTCAGGGTCTAGCTGTGTCTCTGGTAATTCACTTCTTCCTCTTTGGCAAACAAGGGGAGGACCAAGAGACTCTGTTGTACATTTTTTTACACAACTGCCTTTGGCCCCAAGTAATTTTTATGCCAAAGTGGGATAACAGGGCGTGCTCCTTTCAGGATGAGATATTCACTAACCTCTGTCCTCACATCTTCCCAACCACACAGCACTGCTGCTCCACAAGCTGTGTGGAATAAAGTGGTTGTTGTGAAATGGGAACAGTATTTCTCCTTTATCAGTTAACTGAGGTTGACAGGAACCAACCGCCTTTAGTGAGCTGGAAATTCAGTAGATGTCTTTTCTGTTTTAGTAAGAAAAAACAGTGTATTCTCTTTCTGTGCATGTAATTTCCATGTATAAACCTGGGCCCAAAACTTCAGGTGAGTGACCAGTCAGTCACTCACAGAAATCTGAGGCTGGTCTCCTGAGCCCAGTCCTCAGTTTGACTAAATAATCTCTTCGTAAAATTTCTGTTCTACTAAAAGTAAATTTACTTCATAATAATAATTCTCTCAGTTAATGTAACCATCATGTCAGTTGTGAAAAGAAATACTATTTTTTTTGTCCTGCTCTTCTATGTAGCTGACAGATACAATGTGGCTTCCCTCATCTCCATGGGAGACTCTGCTGGTATCAAACACAATGGGAGCACTCAGCTTTCCAGATGTCTGGTCACCCTGCTGGTCAGACCAGGACCCTTGGAAATCAGAGATCTGAACCCCGCGATGGAGAGGGTGATGCATGATCACTGCTGTGCTCTCGCTTCTCCGAAGGTCAGACTGATCTTCTGTGGTGTCTGTGCAGTGGCTGTATCCACTCATTCATTGCACACTCATTGAGTGGCCACTTAGAACTCAGCCCCGTTCCAGGTTAAAAAGAGCAGCAAGGAACACAGACCAAATTTCTTTGCCAAGAGAACTCACATTATATTTCTGCAATGGTTATACGAAAGAGACTGTTCTTATGATAACTCCAATGGTGGAGGGAGGTACAAAGGAGAAGAATGATTAACCTGGAAATAAGGCCGAAGAGTCTCAGAGAAGGAGGCCCTTGGGAAGGTGAAGATGTGGGAGCCAGTGTTCATGTTGTAAAAGGACACAAGTCCAGTCTTATAGTCCAGAAGAACCCCCACCAGCAGGGGCCGCTCCTTCAATGGAAGGAGAGTAGGGGGAGAGGTAAGGGCCATGTAGCCATTCTCCTGGCAGAGTCTGATGGCCCAGAAGCCAGACTGAGGCTCTGGGATCATGTCCTTGTCCCTCTGCACATTTTCCAGACAAACTCCTATGTGCCACCCAGATCCTTCTCCCACATCCACTTCAAAGTAACGTCTTCCTGAGGTGAAGCCCTCACGGCCCAGGACACAGGGTAAAGCATGGAATCTCTTAATACTGAAATGCTTCTTCTGGGGGCTGCCACGGGTCACACGTCTCCGATCCGCAGACAGAATTAGTTCACGATGAGCTGTGTCTGGATCCAGAGTCACGCCAACTGATAAAAGAGAAAGACACATTTTATTTGCGGAGAAGACAGAACACTTCAAGTACAACCTCCTGGATTCAAGTGCAGCCTAGTTCTTTTAGCTCTGTGAGTCACTTTCTGAGACTGCATACTATAGTAGGAAATCATCACACCTGAACAGTAATGGTGGGGAGGATTGAAGGAGCTAATGGAAACCTAGTGGTTGGAGACATTCCTGGTATTTGTTAAGTGACCAATAAGTGGAAGTCATATCCTTGAGCTTATTTGAAGACTTAGTGGCCTTACCGTCTAATCACTAAGCGGTGCCTTCTAGAGCTGACAGTGTTCTAGAAGATGAGGACAGAATCTATTCAATAATCAGAAGGAAGCCAGGGTCATAAGTTCTATAATCATAAGAGGCGAGCGCTGCCCACTATCAGAGGCAGCTTGGAAGTGGATTATTCCACAGTCTAGACTCCAGACTGGGAGCCCAGCCCAGCCAACACATTCATTGCACTCTGTAAGGCCCTAAGCACAAGTCCTACCAGATGTGAGCCACACATATTTGAACCACAAACCTGTGAGAAATGTGTGTGTTGTTTTAAGCGACGGAATATTATTATAGCCATAGAGAATCATTTCATCTTCATTCAGATTTTCCAGTCAAAGGAATTATTAAAATAATTTAGTTTGAATTTTCTAATTGTGGACATGTGGAACATGGCAAATACTAAATAAGAATCAAGGTTTTGGATTTGGTAATACTGGCTTTCATTAAGATTCAACTATTTATGGCGTCATAATCCATTTTCTCCTTAGTCCTGAATACTGATCTATCTTTCCTAAATGTCACTGAATGTTTATGAAATATTAACAATAAACATCATGTTGAGGATTATTCTAAACACTTTACATATGCTGTTGCATTTAATTTTCATGAAAACTCACTGAATTAAGGTCTGTTCATATTTGTATTTTTCAGAATGGGAAAATGAGGTAGTGGTTGGCCTGGCTGATTAGCCAATCAATGGGAGAAGAGGAATTGGAAGAGCCTGAAGAGAGAACAGTTTGCCACTTCCCTTTCTTCACCCAAGGGAGCTTGTTCCTGACCCACTGAAAACAGCTCAGCAACCTCTCTGCCTATAAGTCTGAGCAGGACAGTTAGGAAGCTTGGCTACCACTTAAGGGGCCTTTTCTGTGAAGCACTAAGGCAGTTATTTCCTTCACATACCTTGGTAGCGCTTTATTAATTTCCTCACATCACAGTAAAGCTCAGAAACATTGCACACAGTTTGAGGGGCCAAAGACACAGCCTCTGGTACTTTCAGCTCCACATCTGAATGCCTAGAATAAACAGACAATGACCTCTGCAGTGGATGTTCCATTCGGCTCTGGACCCCAACGTATCCTCACTTCCCCTTAATCATGTATTAAGACAGACTTACCTTTTTAGTGTATCCTTCATACCCTACAGTGAAAACAAAGACAGAAGGTGAGTGTGGGAAAATTAGTATGTCACGTCACTTGACACATGGGATTACTTATTATGAACACTCCACCCCAGGAAGTAGAGTGACCCAGCCTGACACCCACGCATACCCAGGTAGAACAATTCCCATCCCAGTCCCCTAGGACAGTCGCTGCCAGTGTGTGTGAGTGTGTGATCACACTTGCTCAGGCTTGTGTGGAGTCATGGGGTCTGCATTCACATTACCCTGTGAGCTCAGGGACTTGATCATGTTACCCTTTGCTATAAGTGACCTAATTTCTGTCTGAGGAGCCCATATCAGAGATCACTGATGACAAAGGTCCTCAGTGGTGAATCCATGCCCAGACCCTGGCTCTGGGCCACTCAGGTGGAGGCAGCTGGTGTCACCTGCTGAGGGCGCTGTCAAGCTACGTCCTCACCCTCATGTGTAACTACCAGTCCTGCAATAGCTACTGGAGTCCAAGCATTTATATTCACCTGCTGGAACCTTTAGGCAGCTGAAAGCAGGTCCCATAAGAGCTTATGGCCCACGACAATAAGTGAATCAGGAGAAGGTTATCATTTATTTCAGCTGTCTCACTCTATCCAAGAGATGACTAGAAAGGGTCCCATGAACAGTTGACAAGGGCAAATAAATGGCAGGAAGGTTTGCTGTGGGTCCATAAAAACAGGCAACCTCCACATCTACCCAGAGAAAGTTTAAATTTCTGATTCACATGCTGACCCCTGGACCTTCAAGGCCACCAGCAGACATGGATATAGATTTTAAAGAATGTTGCTTTAATTTCAGTGCCACAATTAAGTGAAGTAGACAGGTCTCAGGAATCTCCCCAGGCTCCCTCATCATTCTCCACTCAATAGTCAGGAACAGATGAAACTTCCTTTCTTTCCTAGAAGTTCTCAGCCTCTCTTACCTGCAGCAAATTCTGGGGTGATTCTTGACTCATCTTCTCTAATTTCAGTGTGAGGCACTCAAGTTGAAAGCTCTGCTTTTCCAGACTGGCTTCACCTTCCTGCAGTCTCTCCAGCCCCTTCTCTTTCTCATTCTGCAGTCTCCACAGATAAGCCTTCTCCTCCTCATCGAGGAAGTTGCGGAGAGTCCAAAAGTCAGAATTGATTTTTTGTCTCTGAAGTTCAATGTTCTCCTAGAATCGAGAAAGTAGCCAGAAAAGGGGGAAACAAACTGAACATACATCTATGGTGAGTCAGTAAACACAGGTGGGATCGAGACACAGTGCAAATCTGCTCACCCACAGAGGAAAGAAAACTGTGACAGGTGCCCAAAACTGTCTGTTTCATGAAGATTCATGCTGAGGGACATGAGCCAAAAAGCAAAAATGGAAGACCGTATGAGTCTTTTCATATGACGTCCCTAGTCCAATGTAGAACAAAAGAAGAAGAATGTTGGCCGCTAGGAGCTGGGAGGAGGGAGCAATGGATTTTATTGTTAATGGACATAGAGTTTCTGGTTCGAATGCCAAAAAAGTTCTGCAAATGGAGAGTGGCAACCGACAGCTGGGAAACAACAGAACACAATGCACTGGGCTGTTCAGTTAGAAATAAGTAAAATGGTAATGTCAGGTAATGTGTATTTAGCACAAACACCCCAGAAAAGTTTGAGTAATTTCTGTGGGTCATTTTCCCTGGGCACTGGAGCTCAAAAAGCGTCCATCTCCCTCTGCAGAGACCAGCCCAAGAGGCAGACACTCAGATGTGGGAAAGCTGGTCCTAGCTCTGTTGGCACCTGCTCACTTTCCTTCATCTCATCCCAGAGATAAAAGGAGAGGGCAGGAGTCGCAGAATCATGGAATTTGCCAAGACTAAAGAACTTATCATTTGTAAGATAAAAACAAGCGTTATTGGGGATGTAAGAAGCTATCTATTTTTGTGTGGGTGGAGGGGGGAATTTCTTAAAATTAAGGCTTGTAACGAATATAAATGATTCAAAATTTAAGACATCAAACTGGTAGGAATCTATGATTCTCAACAGGGGAGGTCTGGATAGTTACCAGAAATATTATTGCCTTAAGCCAGGATTCAGTTATCATCCTTATGGATGAGACTAAGAAAAACACTGAGAGACTTGGATTTCTCTGGAGAGAACAGAGTGTAATTTCCATGGGTGCTTTCTCAAGTCACATAGTGCTCAGTGAATGTGGTGTTGTGGTAGATGTTGTGGCACTGACATGGTTTCCTATATGATGTGTAGCAATAGAAGTTCTCCCACTACCCGAGATTGCAGAAGGGAGGAGACAGAGGCGGTTGCAATGCTACAGTGACAGGGATCTCAACTTGCCAGTTCCTAGCAAGGCCCTCCACACTTAATGAGGATTTTAACATGAGGATAGGAGGAGTTTAAATTTCACATGTGCACATCTGCAAAGAATAGGACAAATGTGGGAAGAAACCCTGAAAGAGGAAAATGACTCATAAATTTGATTACTAAGGGATGGATTACATCCATATTCCCATAACAGAATGTGTCTGATCCTGCAGGGGCTGGTCAGCCATAGGCACTGTCTTAGAGACCCACAGTCTGCAGTGCAAGTGTGCAAGTTCTTGCAAAGCTCTATCCTCATCAACAGTCTCACAAGCTTGAGTTATGGGATTGTCTCCTGAGCTGGTCCTCTTATTTTATTCACTAAAGTAGAAATTGGAACCAGGAATGTAGAGGGTCAGACCCGTGCTGTGGTAAAAGTGCCCTGGTGAGTTCATGATCTTCAGACAGGAGGTAATTTCAGTCATTGAAAATTTGAAAAGTAAGGAGCACAACTTTTTTGATTCTCTTGACTGGGGTATTAGGACACCTAGCCAATTACTATTCATAAAAAAAAAAGAAAACAGAGGAAAATTCTCCTAGATGCAGACAACTAATGGCAAATATTAAAGAAAAAGGCCTATTTTTTGGGTTTCCACAGTTTGGTCTGATTTAATGCGAACAAGTCATCAATGAGTACTTTTCCCAATCACCATACACCTAAACTCTACACTGGAAAATAGTTTGAGATCCAGAAAATCAAATTCTTACCTCCCATTGTCTTATTTCATCTTTCTTTTCCAACTTCAGTCTCTTACAGCGGTCTTGCTCTGCCTTCAGTTTTGTCACCATCCCCTGGAGCTTTTCCTGAAGGAAAAATTGGGTGAGTTATGGCTTGTCCAATTCACAACCCTCATTTGGTCCTAGAAGAATCCCAGCCTCCAAGATGTACAATAACATTGAATATATTTTTGAGTCCTTTTGCTTTGAGAAGAAGCAACATAAGGGCATTAATGTAACTCATGCCCTCAGTGGCCCTGGGCAGTGGCAGGATTTTAACATCTTTCTGTGCTGTAGGCGATCTGTGATTCCCAGCTCATTTGTGGACCATAGACTAAGCTATTTACATTACTGCAGTTTGCCAGGGACATGCTACAAGATTATAATCATCTAAAAGTACATTTTATAGAATAAAGTGCTGGACCAATCATAATACAGAGTGTTTGAAACACGTGGAACTTTTTACACATTATGGTGAGTCAGGCAGGAGTCCCAGGATGGCAGCTGAAGTTACAGAACAAGTTCATGGGCGAGGGGGAGCTCTGCTGTCACCTGAAGAACTGCCATGATGTCAACTTAGAGTGATTAGTTTCCATACCTATCTCTAGGGTTACTTGTCACACAGTTTCTCACATTTTCAGTCTCTATTGAGAGATGGGGAAACCAGGTCATGAAGGCAAAAACTAAGTCGCGCACAGCTTCCATCTAGTAAGAACTGAAACTCTTAGGATATTTCAACCTCAGCAGTTTGTATCCTGCGGCCACGTCCATCACCGTTTGTTCCTTTTTTTTAACTACTTGGTGGGCAAGTTATGGGATCTGCCCCATTACAGTGATGAGCTGCTCATGAGGTTACAGGGGGAGGTGAGTGCACTGAGTGGTGCTCAGGACTGACACGCCCTGACACAGGATCCAGAACCTCACACAAGACACAGGCACCTCAGGGGTGAAGGGACACAGAACCCCACACTGGGGATGTTTCCTTCAAGTGTCACCAGGGCAGAGGAGGAAGGAATCCCGCTTCCTCATTCCTGCACAGCACAGGGAGCCTCACCTTAGCAGCTGTTGTATGAGAAACGTGGGAGGTGCCTGAACCTTTCAAGGCTTCATCACTCACCAATTCTTTCTAAATCCTTTAACTGTCCTTCTATATCCTTGCTAAAACCTGTTTCCATCCCCTTTTCATAGAGGACTAACTTCGATACTACTCTTTGATGTTAATTTTTTTGCACACAGAATGTTCTTTTAAATGCCAACCTAATCTTTCTCTCCACAAATAAAATCCCAACTTTGAACCAGGATTTAGACTCTGAGAAATACCAACATTCCTTCTTAATTTCCTGTCCCATGGCCTCACCTGTCTTTGCGATCACACACCCCCGGACCATGTACTAGATAGTCAGGTAAGCTCTTGTGACACGTGGTCCCCCTGAGTTGGAATCCTCACTCTTCTCCACACATGGTTATTTTGTGTGTGTCCTTCTGGACTCACTTCTGGGCAGTCTCCCCCTACACTCATTCCTGACCCTGTGTGGCCCCTCACTACCCACACCAAGGGACGTCAGGTGTCCTGTGTTCCTTCCTCACTTATACTGCGGCTATCTAAAAAACTGAATTCTGACCCCTGGGGTTTCAGATTCTTTCCTGTGCTCTTGCAAGCTGTGGTGTCTCCAATTAAATATTCGAGGTGAGGCCATGAATGAGGCCCGTGTGGCAAAGAGCAAATCTGTTGTCCAGGAGAAGTTCATTACAGGAAGTTCTTACAGGAAAGGATTCTGCTCAGCCTTGAAGGTCAAGATGGACACGGGGTGGACATGTAATAAATTCAACATGGACGTGTAATAAACTATTTCAGGGAAATAATATGGTACAAATTTATTTTAGGGTCAGGATAATGGTTTTCACTACAACTGATTGGAGTGAAAATGTGCAACCTAAGAGGCAGTCCTTGCGAAAGACTCTGGCAACTCACCTTGTAGCCTGGATACACGTCCTCCACTACAAGCATGCGGTGTCCTCTGTGCTGGGGGGAGCGCTCACAGTGCAAGCAGATGAGCTGCCCGTCATCCTCACAAAACAGGTGGAGCCGTTCCCCATGTTCCTCACACAGCCTCTCACTGTCTGTCTCCTTGAGAGTCTGAATGAGGTTTTCCAGTTGCTTGATGGATCGGAGACTCTCCCTTTGAAATGGTGCCCGGCAACAGGGACATTGAGGCTCGCTCAGGGATGATGTGCCTTGTGGTTTCTCAAGGATGCCCTCTATGCACCGGCGGCAGAAGCTGTGCCCACACTGGATGCTCACGGGCTCTGTCATCAGCTCCAAGCAGATGGAGCACATGGCTTCCTCCCTCATCCTCTTGGGGGCTGAGGCCATGGCCCTTCCTGAAAATCTCCAATATCAGGTAGAGGCAGAGATGAAGTAGACAGGATTTTCCAGAGTGAAGGACAGAAGCCTCACCTGAGCTTCTGTGCCTGCACAGGTGTTGAAGTCTTCTCTCTGGAGAGAGAAATGGATGCAATTTGAAAGATGCCTCGCCTGTTCCTCTGTGGCAGAATAGGGTGATCACAGTCATATTTGCCCACTTCACTTTAGATTTAAATTCAGTCACATTTAAATTCAGTGTTTCTGTCTCACCAGCCATAATTAAATGCTTCACATCTGAGAATGGTCCCAGGATATCCAAGTACAGAATATTACATCATGGGAGACAGTGACAGTGCTCCGGTACTAACAGAGCTAGAAAAGGAAAGAGGGGGCTCCCAAAAGTTGCAGGAGAGACAAGAACCAGGGAGGGAGAGTTAAACTCTCTCCATGTCTAATGAGCTTCGGGAGGAGTCAGCCCTGATTTACTTCCTTGTCCTGCTAGCAACACTGAGGTAAATGTTGGGGAGCAGAGTCCATGCAAACAATCACCCTTGACTCTCCTCACACACCCATGTCTGGTTCTCTGGACCCACAAAGTAAAAGGGGCTCCAGGTTATTCACATTTCCATGGAGCCCACACTGAGGCAGGAGAGCTGGAGAGAGTGGTAGAGAAGGTGTTGGTGCTGGGAGCAGAGGCCCTGGGCACAAGGGAGGTGACTGTCTCCCTCCAGGGGAGGACAGGTCTCCCAGGACAAGGTCAGGGTGCCTGAGGCAGAGGGAATTTGCAGAACCAGGATGTGGGGAGGCAGGAAGCAGAGGGCAAGGCCTGTCCATTGTGGGCTCCTGTCCTGGACCCCCCAGTGTCCACCAGTGAGGACTGAGAGCTGGAGACAGAGGAGCAGGGACCAGAGCAGTGGGTCTGCCCTTCCCCACAGCGGCAGCTGCTCAGGCTCCTGACCCTGCTGCCTTCCCCTTGCTGGGAGTGTGTGGGGAGGTGCTGAGGGAGGAAGTGAGAGATCTTACCTTGCACTCACAGGGCCTGGACTAAAAGCAGATCCAGCCCAAGGAACTGGATAGATTATTTCCCCCTATTTTCAGGACCAGCCCTTGGAGCCAGAGCACGTCTCTGCAGACTGCTCTCCCACGGAGGGGATTTCTCCCAGGGGCTGCACTAGCCTTCCTTATGCCTGGGGTTGTGCTCCTAGGGATGCCCTTCCTCTGAACCCCAAGTGCCTGCCCTTCGCTCACCTCCTACCCTGATCTGAGATGGGAAATGGAGTCTTGAAAGAGAAAGCAGAGGGAGAGAGAGCTAGAAAGCAAGTCCCGACCAATTTGACTTGACTGAGCTCCTCTTATTGCTCCCACCACAGACATCACAGTCCACCCCAGAGCAAACCTTGGCCTGGACTTTTTCACTCCTCCTCACAGGGCAGTCAGTCACAATATCGCTGTCAGTCACTCTGCAGCTCCATTTTCAGATACCTGGAAGGGAAGTTCCTCTGACTAGAGTGAACTCAGAAATGAAACTGATGTGGGGCTGGTCCAGGTAGATGAGGGCAGAAACCTGTCAATATACCAAAGGTTGCACAGTCAGATATCCTGACAGGGAGGAGCTTGGTAGGAACAGTACACTTCTCTCAGAGCAGCAAGAGGGGACTATTTAAAATCTCATGGTGACGTAGCCTGGGACAGTCAGGGGAGCAGACCCCTCATAGGACAGGACACCCCTCCTGAGACATCCAGCTCACAGACAGGGAGAATGCGCCCCTGGGTCCCTTATCCCATGATGACTCCCTGCCTCTCCCTCCACCGTCACTGTTGTGGATGTGACGCTGCACTGGGCACAGCTCATCCCCAGTTGCCTTGTCAAAGAACAAGGAAAGGAGACGAGGGACCCCATGGAAGATCCACCACCCCACACAAGCACCAGCCTGACAAAGACAAGCTCATGTGACCACTGCCCCTTGACATCTGCTATGTGAAGGAGGGGATCATGCAAATCCCAGGGCTGAGAGGGGTGGGGTCACAGTAGAGCCTCCAGAGACATGTCCCCAATGAGGGGAGAGCCCAGTGCTTCATGTGAAACTCACTAAATTTTGACCACCACAGTCTGACTCCTGAGGCTACGTCCATCACCTTGTGTTGTTTTATTTTTTACTACTGGGTACGAAAGTTACGGGATCTGCCCCATTACAGTGATGAGCTGCTCATGAGGTTACAGGGGGAGGGGAGTGCGCTGATGGTGCTCAGGACTGACTGACACACCCTGACACGGGATCCAGAACCTTCATACAAGACACAGGCACCTCAAGGATGAGGGAACACAGAGCCCCACACTGGGGATGTTTCCTTCAAATGTCAACAGGGCAGAGGAGGAAGGAATCCCACTTCCTCATTCCCCCACAGCACAGGGCAGCCTTACTCAGAGCTACTGAGTGAGAAACTTTGGAGGTGCCTGAACCTCTCTCAAGGATTCATCACTCACCAATTCTTTCTAAATCTTACAACTCTCCTTCATAATCATTGCTGAAGCCTGTTTCCATCTCCTTTTCTAAGAGGACTAACTCTGATTTTACTCCTTGATGTTTATTTTGTGCACGCAGAATGTTCTTTTAATGTCAGCCTGATCTTTCCCACCACAAATAAATCCCAACTATGGACCAGTAGACTCAGGGTGAGACTCAAGTTCTTTCCTTGATTTCCTTTCTCATGCCCTCACCTGCCTTTCCCATTATATAACCCCGACAAGGTACTGGAATGTCAGGCAAGCTGCTGTGACAGGTGGTCAGCCTTAGTGGAATCCTGTTTTTTCAGCACACATGGTTATTTACATTTTCCTGTCAGGACTCACTTCTGGGCACTCTCCCCCTACACCCATTCACGCCTCTTGGTGCGTACCCTCACCTCCCACACGAAGGGACATGAGGCATCCTGTGTTCCTTTTCTTACTCCTTGTAGACTGTAGGCTCTCTAACAGTGGGTGGTTCTGACTTCTGGGATTTCACATGATGTCCTATATACTTGCATGTTGTGGTGTCTCCAATTATGTATTCGAGGGGAGGCCATGAATGAAGCAGGTTGGCAAACAGCACAATGTATTGTCCAGGAGAAGTTCATTACAGGAAGTTCCTACTGGAATGGGTTCTGACCAACCTTCAAGTTTGGCATAGATCATCAGGACTTGACTCACTGGGATTATAATAAACTACTATTCAGAAAATAGCATTATGGAAACATTTCTAGGGTCACAATCCTGGTGTTCAGACTAATTTTTTTGTCTTTTTTTAAAATATTTTTTATTTTTATATTTACCATACAATTGCAACCCCCTTATTTTGAACACAATCCCTCCTTTCCCTGCCCCCCACCCCCATAGAGTGTCTCTAGTTCATAGTTGTTTGTTGATATTTTTTAAATAATAAATTTTATTTTTATATTCCCCATACAATTGCAACCCCCCCATTCTGACCCTAATCTCTCCCCTCCCCCCCCCCACCCCCAAAGTGTCTCTGTTTCATAGTTTTTTGTTGATTCTGATTTTCACTTTCTTATAGTTACTCATTTTCCTGGTCCCTTATTTAAGTTTTCTAGATTCCTGCTATGAGTGAGACCATCCGGTATTTTTCTTTTTCTTTCTGGCTTATTTCGCTGAGCATGATCCCTTCCAGCGCCATCCATGTTGCTGCAAATTGCATGTGTTTGTCTTTTTTGAATGCTGAGTAATATTCCATGTTGTATATGTACCACATCTTCTTGATCCAGTCATCTGTTTTTGGTCATTTGGGTTGTTTCCAAAGCTTAGCTATTGTAGATAGTGCTGCTATAAACATAGGGGTGCAGGTGTTCTTTGGAATTGATGTTTCTGTGTCCTTTGGGTAAATACCTAGGAGTGGAATTGCTGGATCATATGGAAGCTCTATGTTTAGTAAGTCAAGAAATCTCCACATAGCTCTCCATAGTGGTTGGACCAGTTTGCACTCCCACCAACAGTGCAGGAGAGTTGCTTTTTCTCCACAACCTCGCCAACATTTGTTGTTGCTAGTTTTTTTTTTAATATGTGCCATTCTCACTGGTGTGAGATGGTATCTCATGGTAGTTTTGATTTGCATTTCCCTGATTACAAGTGACGTTGAAACATTTTTTCATATGCCTGTTGGCCATTTGCATTTCCTCTTTGGAGAAGTTTCTTTTTAGCTCTTCTGCCCATTTTTTGACTGGATTATTTTCTTTGTTTTTGTTGAGTCTCATCAGTTCTTTGTAGATTTTTGTGATCAGTCCTTTATCATTAGTGTTGTGTGCAAAAATATTCTCCCAGTCGGTGGGGTTTCTCTTTGTTTTTGTTATTGTCTCTTTTGCTGTGCAGAAGCTCTTTCATTTGATGTAGTCCCAGCTGTTTATCTTTGCCTTCACTATCACTGCTTTGGGTGATGTGTCTGTAAAGATGTCTTTGATGTGCATATCGTGTAGAATTTCGCCTATATTTCCTTCTATGTGTTTTATGGTTTCAGGTCTTATGTCTAGATCTTTAATCCATTTTGAGTTGGTTTTTGTGTATGGTGTGAGGTAGTGGTCAATCTTCATTCTGTTGCATGTAGCAACCCAGTTTTTCCAACTCCATTTATTGAACAAACTTTCTTTGCTCCAATGCATATTCTTTGCTCCATGTCAAAGATTAGTTGGACATAAATCTGTGGGTTTATTTCTAGATTTTCCATTGGGTTCCATTGGTCTGTGTGTCTGTTCTTGTTCCAGTATCATGCAGTGTTGATGATTATGGCTTTGTATTATAGTTGGAAGTCTGGGAGTGTGATACTTCCATACCTTCTTTTTTTTTTTTTTTTTTTTCATGAGAGCTTTGGCTATTCAGGGTTTTTCGTGATTCCATATGAATTTCATCAATAATTGTTCTATTTCTTTGAAGAATGTCATTGAAATTTTTATTGGAATAGCATTGAATCTGTATATTGCTTTTGATAGGATAGCCATTTTAATAATATTTATTCTTCCAA